GGCATATATGTAAAAGTTTCTGAAACAGTAGTGTGCAAAGATCTCTCTCTAGTGAAAGTGGATATAAGAGGACGCAGACACAAGAACACACACAAGCTTTTTCACAGAAATGAAGAGTCACCTAGGGATCTTCATGATGGTGTTTGTTGGTTTAGCTTTTGTAGGAGGTGATTAAACAAACTTCATCTAAGTCTGTATAGCACATGATGTCTTCCAACCAGTGTTGTTAATTGTTAACAAAAACTAAAAACTATTATTTTGTTAACTGAAATAGGCTAAATCTTGAAAAACTTAAACCTAAAAGTCGTGTAAGATGACAATTAGAAATGTTGCCTTGGCAATGAACTGATGCAAGTTTAATTTGAAGTACTACTAAAACTAAAACTGTCTAAAATAAAAAATAAAGCAAAATTACTAAACAGAAAAAAAGAGAAAACAATAAAAAGAAAAAAGCTAATTCAAAATATTAATAAATACTATAATAGTATATAAATAATACTGGTTCAAACAGATCTTGTGGTAAGCATATTCCTGTTGAGTCTGTATCTCTACTATCTTACATACAAAACAGCTGACGTACATTAACTCTTTCTTTCTGCCTTTCGCCAAATTCTTTCTGTTCTGAAAACAAGCGCCATCTGTGTTTTGGGGTTACTGATCTTGCAGGTGTATTTGTGGTATTTAGGCCTTGAGGCAGCTCTCTCATCTTTCTACAGTAAATTCTCTTCTCTCTGCCACTCGGCATACCATTTTGTGCCTGTTTTGTGCCTGTCGTTACCTATTTCCTGCATTCATTTTGATTTGCCAGATAAATAGAGACAGGAATTAAAAAGCACTCACAGTCTTTGGGTTCTAATTCTCAAAGGGAGTGCATATATTTCAATGCTCAGGCAGTATGCTTGCATGTGTGTGTGTGTGTGTGAGTTTGTGTGTGTGCACAAACAAACTCACACACCTATTTAACTTTAACTTTTTATGCTTTCCCACCTTTTCATGTTATTGTAACCCACTTTCCATCAATTCCAGTTTATTTTTAGTAGGGGATCCTGTTGAGTCTGTATCTCTACTATCTTACATACAAAACAGCTGACGTACATAAACTCTTTCTTTCTGCCTTTCGCCAAATTCTTTCTGTTCTGAAAACAAGCGCCATCTGTGTTTTTGGGTTATTGATCTTGCAGGTGTATTTGTGGTATTTAGGCCTTGAGGCAGCTCTCTCATCTTTCTACAGTAAATTCTCTTCTCTCTGCCACTCGGCATACCATTTTGTGCCTGTTTTGTGCCTGTCGTTACCTATTTCCTGCATTCATTTTGATTTGCCAGATAAATAGAGACAGGAATTAAAAAGCACTCACAGTCTTTGGGTTCTAATTCTCAAAGGGAGTGCATATATTTCAATGCTCAGGCAGTATGCTTGCATGTGTGTGTGTGTGTGTGAGTTTGTGTGTGTGCACAAACAAACTCACACACCTATTTAACTTTAACTTTTTATGCTTTCCCACCTTTTCATGTTATTGTAACCCACTTTCCATCAATTCCAGTTTATTTTTAGTAGGGGAGTATGATTTTTTTAAGGTGACGATGAAGGCAACCTGCCCTTTGGGTATTTGGGTAAAATGCTTAGTTTGGATTTTAGCCAAGACTCGTTTTCACATTTTTTGGAATAGTGGTTTCAGGCTTTTCTGTAGTAAATGGATGTGCTTATGTGCATGTATAGATCTGTTAGTAAAATAACCAGGTGTTCAGTGCTATGTGCGCTAAATGTGATGTTCAAGTTCTGGTTGCATTCTGGAAAATTTAAGTGCTCCTCATTACAAACTTTTTTTAAGCACACAGAGATGTGTTCTGAGGCCTCCAGACCTGTCCTTTTAAATAAATTGTACATTTAGGTTAATGTCAAGTTGTTATGATTTATGGGAATACTTGCTTTCTTTCCCTGTGTTTCACCCTTGACACACCCACACAAAGCCCAGAGGCTATACTGAAACTACAAGCTTAGCGTGCTTTCACACTACCGCTTTTTCATCTGCTTTTAGTCTGTTTGGTTTGCTTTGGTTGGTGGGAAAGTGGTTTTCTTAAGTAATAAAACAAGCAGGAAATTTATTTTTAAGAATGTTTCATTAATCTGGCCCCTGGTTGGTCCTCAGAGCGTGTGTCCTAGTACAGCCAAGCTGCTTTCACTATAATAGTGTCACCTGCACATGCCACTTCTGTAGATGAAATCGTACCTGTTCCAAAGACAGCAATCTTCAGTGTTGTGATGCTTTATCTTGTGTTGAAACAGGTGGTTCATTTGGACCTGTCCTTTTAAATAAATTGTACATTTAGGTTAATGTCAAGTTGTTATGATTTATGGGAATACTTGCTTTCTTTCCGTGTGTTTCACCCTTGACACACCCACACAAAGCCCAGAGGCTACAAGCTTAGCGTGCTTTCACACTACCGCTTTTTCATCTGCTTTTAGTCTGTTTGGTTTGCTTTGGTTGGTGGGAAAGTGGTTTTCTTAAGTAATAAAACAAGCAGGAAATTTATTTTTAAGAATGTTTCATTAATCTGGCCCCTGGTTGGTCCTCAGAGCGTGTGTCCTAGTACAGCCAAGCTGCTTTCACTATAATAGTGTCACCTGCACATGCCACTTCTGTAGATGAAATCGTACCTGTTCCAAAGACAGCAATCTTCAGTGTTGTGATGCTTTATCTTGTGTTGAAACAGGTGGTTCATTTGATCTAGATTAAATTCTGTAGAGAACCATTGCCAGTGTTTGAATGTGTATGTTTGTGTAAGTGCCCTGCATTTATAATTAGTGTAACCAGCTACTACTATTAGTCCTCAGTAAATCTTGCAAAGTTTCCATAGCAGAACTCTGTCAGAGGTGTGAGTGGTAAGATCATGGCATTCTTTTATAGATTAAACCACCCAGGCATTTGCTGCTTTAGATGATAAATACCCTCATACTTTGTCTAGCTAACAGCAGGATTGGATTTGAAAGCCAAGTGAGTAAATGGTTATGACATTTTAAAACATTATACATAAAGGCTTCAGAGATGCGGAGAATAGGATATATACATGTTAGATGAGGCAGTCATGGCTTAAAGGGGTCATATGATGCGATTTCAAGTTTTCCTTTCTCTTTGGAGTGTTACAAGCTCTTGGTGCATAAAGAAGATCTGTAAAGTTGCAAAGACTAAAGTCTCAAATCCAAAGAGATATTTTTTATAAAAGTTAAGAGTCAGCCACGCCTACCTAAAACGGCTCGTTCTAACACGCCCCCACACTGTAAACCCGAACAGTACTACTAACTTATAAAGATTAAGAACACTGCAATTAAAGTCTGTTAAATCGTTGATGCAACTTATAGAGAGACAGGGTCACTCACAGTGGAGTCAGCTGTCTTAACCGTGGCTTGTGTACACATACCAGCTTCATCATTGTGTCTGTCACGCGACTCTGTTCCCCTTTCGGGCTCTGTCTTTACATTTATTTTGAAAGATGAAGCTCGCGTTTATGGTAAGGGGCGTTACATTTCCGATGCGTGCTTGTGGTGTTCGGCCAATCACAATGCACTGGGTCAGCTGGCCAATCAGAGCAGACTGCGCTTGTCAAAGGAGGGGGCTTTGTTGAAAACGACGTGTTTATGAGAGGCGGGGCATAGAGGACCTACAATAATGTACAGTATTTGAAAAATAATGTGTTTTTTGAACATTAAAGCATGTCAACATGTTCTGTTACACCAATACACAAAATAATGATCTTTAAAATAGCATCATATGACCCCTTTAATGGTTAGAGAGTCGGACTTGTAACCCAAAGGTTACAGGTTTGACTCTCAGTACCGGCAGGGATTGTAGGTGGGGGGAGTGAATGACCAGCACTCTTTCACCTTCAATACCCGCGAGATGAGATGAGACCCTTGAGCAAGGCACCAAACTCCCAACTGCTCCCCGGGGCCACAGCAAAGATGGCTGCCCATTGCTCCAGGTGTGTGTGTGTGTTCACTACTCATTGCTGTGTGTGTGCACTTGGATGGATTAAATGTAGAGCTACACGTCACTTTCACTTCAATAGATGTGCCACTATTCTTCCGGCTCGAAAACTTGAAAATGTATTCTGATTTATCGCATCTTAGATTTAGCACACTCTTAGATTTAACACATTACATATCGGCATCACATTATTTTTTAAGTTTGTAGTGATTCACATTTTTCTCCATATTGTGCTGCCTTAGCTTCCATTTTGGTGGATATTTTATATGAGTGAATATGTTATTGTGAGTGAGTCTGTGCGATTTTATCAACACTCAGCCTTTGTCATCTTCCCTATCCTCCCTCTCTCTTTTCTTTCAGTGTATGTTAATTGTTTGTTGTTGCTGTCATTCAGCACTTTTGCACTTGAAGCTTTGCAGATGTTTCTTTGGAATGCTATTTCCATCATCCCTCTCTCCTCAATGGTCCTTTCCAGTACTACCATTGGCTGCGCACAAAGCCTCCACCTCCTATGCTATCTTCACAGAGAATGATTAGTATAATTTTACCAAGTTTACAAAATACAGAACTGACAGACTGGAATGATATGCTGTCTTTACATGCTACATTACATGAAACAGCATTAAATCACACACAAAACACAACAGAAAAAGAAACATAAAACATAATATAAAAAAGATAATAGAAGAAATAATAATTAAAAAAACGCAACAGTGATCTTTGCCCATAGAGATTTGAAATGGTTGCTTTTGTAATCAGTGCTACAGAGTAAAAAATATTATATCTACAACTAGACTATCAGAACAGAACCATGATTTTTCCATCAATCCATGTTTTTATTAGTGTTGATGTTCAACATAGATGACACAGATCAGTGTTAATATTTGAGGGAATGCTGGATGTTTAAAGCTCATTGGCCCGCTCCCTGACAGTAGGGGGCGAGGTTTGGTAATTTGTGTCTGCCAGGTGAAGTGAAGGTCTTCCACATTCTTATGCTTTCCATCTTTCTCCTCCCTTCCCTTTCACACACATCCTGTCACCTTCCCTTTGGCCTTGCAAACTCTCAGTACCTTTCTTTTGTGGCAGTCATTTGGTATGTTTACATGCACTATTTTTGTCAGTCCAATGAATCCAATACTATTTCAGATTCTGAATGTTCAGTTTAGATAAACCCTAAACTTTGCAATCTTTGCAATTCACATATTCATTTACATGTCCATTACATGTATTCTGAACAAAACATCAGCATATGTACAGTGCCCAATCCCCAGTCACTGTGTACAGAACCGGAGAAGTCCACCGTAATAATGTCACCAAGTGCTACTGTGAGTATAATTGTAATTTTTGCCATATCTTAGAAGAACGATGACAAATGTCAGAAGACTTTCTTTTAGCAAATATTTAGTAAACATTCTGCTCCACTGACTAGTTTTAAGAAGTAAAACATATGTAAACATGCACATCATGGAACTAGGTATTTTTGAATCCTTTGGAGAAAATAGTCAGATTCAAGCATTAACATGCTTACTTAATTCCTATTTAGGTATTTAAATTACTGCTTTTTAGTCAGAGTAAGTCATTAGTCTGATTATAAAAAGATTAATTGGTTGCATGTAAACGTAGCTACTGTCCCCCGCTATGTCTATGATGGTAATAGTCCTGATCTGTGTGTCCACTTAGGGTTAGAATTAACATTATGGACACAAATCATATTTATGTGACTCTTCTAAACAGAATTGTAATTTAACAGATAAAATTAATGAGCTTCCATATCTCAATGGCCATGACAGCAGTGCTCTTTCCTTTTGTATTGTGTATTGTCTCATTTTCTTTCTTTTGTTGGGATCATTTATCAACCCTAGGTTGACTCCTTTGGTCTGTTGTGAGAGACCAGAACCCATATATGTACAAGATCACATATCAGGAATGCTGTCTCTGGATCAGAGCTGCTCCTTAGCACTCCTTGGCTTAAACCCCAGTAAACAATGTGAAAATCTGATCCTAAATCAGCACTCTGCACAAATACATGCTGTTGGATCTCCGGGGGCGGACTTCCTCCCTGAGGTCTGATGAAAATCAAGCTGGCCGAGTCTGGCTGAAACATTTATCTGATGGAAAGTGCCTGTATCTGAGGAAATGAAGGACTGTGTGATGTCCGCTATACTGAGAGGATTTGTATTTGACTGCTGTGTTTAGCAATCCTGGGAGTACAAGATAAAAACACATTGGGAAAAAAACTGGGGGGTGGGGGGGCTCATATATTTTGCATACAGATTAGTTTCTTAATTGGGTCTCCTCCCCCCACTGGGCCAGCCAGCCATAACCAACAACATGTCCGCAGTCTCAGTCTGGCCAGATGGTGGACTGAGCCTCAAAGTGGTGGGGTGGTCTAACAGTAGGAGGTGTGTGCGTTGAGTGTGTATTAGTGGTTGTGACTTCTAGTCCTGCTGGGCCATCCTCCCCTTCGCACATCTATCTATCCATCCATCTGACTGTTTGCTGTGGACAGTTGGAGTTAAAGAGGCACCCTGGCTATAGCAGCTGGGACTTGAGACTGGGTGTGGATTGGGGGAGGGTCATGTGTATGCTATCAAGGATTGGTATCAAGAAGAACAAGAGGAAGGAAGAAAATGTAATTGGACTGAAAAAGTAGGAGGAGGACTTAAGGATAAAAGAAGGCAAAAATACACACAATTACAAAGAATCGGACCATTCTGGGAAAACAGAGTTAGGGATCAATGCCAAGTGGATACTGTATATATCAATAGAAGAAAACACAGAATGAGCTTCATGCAGCTGCTTCTTTCTGGTGATAACTTGCAGATGGGTCTTCAACATTGTCCACCCCATAAATTCTAACAAATGGAATCAGATGGATCCAGGTTGGACACTTCTCTTGGTCATCTTGTCCTTGCCAACACTGTACTTGGTACTCAATATGCTTTGACAATTTCAAATACATTTGAACTGAATTAAACTTTCAGTTCTGAATAATGAATAGAGAGTGGTTGCTCTGAAGCAGTTGGAGAGAAAAAAAAGCAAAAATCTGACTAGTACAATTTCAGTCAGACTACATGACATTTTAGGAACTTGAATTATTGCTTTGATAAAAAAAATAACTTTTAATGTTCATATAAGTGTGCTTATTGATTACTCTTGACTAAGCATACATCATTGTAAAGGAAATAGAAAGCGAGAACATAATGTGGCCTCATCTGCACTAGTCCGGAGTATCATGTGTGGAATGTTGAGCTGTTTTTTTTTGTTGTCAAAGTCTTCTTTAGGGCGGTTCAAGAATATAGGATTGTGTAACACTTAGACCCTTTGTTGGACTGGCTTGAAGTGCACTATCCAGCTGACCCTGCCCAACCCAAACACAGCACTAATGTATGTCTGAAACCCAGCCAGGATATTACGAGTGAGCAGCGCATCAAAAGGCAGTCATGCTCACTGATTCTGACCTAGTTTTAAATACTCCTTACCGTTGCTCTGTCTTCCTTTCATCAAGGCTTTCCTCCCCTGGACCACAGCCAGTGTTCCATACTGCCCATCCATATGTGCTACAGCTTTCTGCACTATAAATTGACTCCGGTGTCAAATTATTCAACTGCAGCTGAGCAGTGGCCTTTACCTCATAGCCATATGGAGAGTCTGTGAAGCCTGATTGTTTGTGATGAAGACGATGATGATGATGATTTCTCCAGACCTGTGTACAGAGTTTTGGTTGCAGTTTACCAGCTCAGAAAGTTTCCATTATTCACATTTACTGCCTGTGTAAGTCAATCTGTGTGTGTGTGTGTGTGTGTGCGTATTTAGTTTAATTTTCCACATGTGTACATGAGATAACATCTTATCAGGGGAGAACTGCAAACTGGAGAACTGGAGATCAACCAGTGAAAATGAAGACAAGGTTTTTGCCACTGAGATTGTTGCTTTTGTGCCATTATATACTGTATGTTGACTACCTATTTATGTTGTTTTAATTGGATGCATCGCAGTTCATTTAACACATTTACTTGAGTTTCAACACATCTGAGGTATTTACAACAGCAAAATCTGTAGCTACATACAGTCTCTGCAATCTGGCACAAATTAATTTTCATTGCAGGTTGCAGTGTACATGTTTCCTCTCGGGTACTAGGCTATACAAATATTGTATACTTCGGTATACAAGGTTTTTTCTCTCACTTATATTACGTGTTTGGAGTATTACAGGAGATAACCTGGATGACACGAACTGTCTTATCAGATCAACCTCCTGTGGTCCTAAATCATGTCCGTCTACTCTTTGTTATTTCCATAAGGAGGCTTTGGCTTGATTATACTCTGTGTGTGTGTGTGTGTGTGTGTGTGTTGGAGAAGAGTACAGCCAAATGTCTTTTGAAATCTTAGTCACTTCTCTGCTGTTTGGATACTGAGAGTAGCAGGGGTGCAGATAATCAAAAATACTCAGCAACATTCCAGAAACTTGGAAAACATTGTCCAGCAATTATAAAGGTTCAGCAAGTCCTGCAAGTATTTCTGGGATGAAAAATAAATGTCAAAGGGTTCATTCAGGACTCTGATTAATAGAGTACAGAAACAACAGCTCTAGAGCATTCTAATTAATTTGTCTCTGGAATTTAATCCATTTACTTTTGAGGTCTTGTAATCAAAAATCCTGTTGTCTTGCAGGTGTTGTGCATATTATTTTGGCTTGTGTATTTTGCCAATGAGGCCAACCACTTTAGTAATTAGGTGTTTCACCAGGGCACAGATTGTTGCTGCATTCCTTGGAGACATGAAAACACATAAGCGCTGATGAGTGACACACAGGCACATTCTGTGAGATATACTTCAAAAGACCTTGAATTCAGCTCATATGGTTGCCCCTGACAAAACAGCCTTTGCTGTAATGAATCCCCTGCAGTGGAGCCCAGAAGAAACAGTCATTCCACTGGCTACCAGGTTCTTTAATGCTTCATTAGAGTTCTGTTTGTTTAAAGCTTACCCTCCTGACAGTTACCAGTTTGCCAGTACGGGGCCTCCACCCTGCTTCAAACATCCTGAGCACGTGATGTGAGGGCCAAGCCCTGTAAGAGGGGTATCACAGAATTGCTTTGATTTGACGGCATGTCTGGAGCTGGGAAGAGATCAAGTTTAGATGCAGTTTACTCTTAATGTTTACAACAGATACAATTTCTTTCCATTCTTTGTTTCTTTATCACTACCCGCAGTTTGTGTATTTCAAATTAGCTGAAAATTAGATGATATTTGAGATTCTTGACAGAAATTAAGTGTTTCACAATTTTCTTTTAAATGGCTTGCAGCTCTATTGAATTGTGTGCACTGTAGGGGTGGGCGATAAAGCCTCAAAATTATATCACGATATTTCAAGAATATTTGCGATAACGATATTTATGACGACATAGACAAAAAAAACATGGAACAACGTTTTATTGGTGATTGCAGCTGGCAGGCAGCAGCATTTATTCTGGACGCACTGGATAGCTGGCCAATCTCAGCACAACTCGCTTTTTCAGACCGATGAGCTTTGTAAAAAAGCAGAAAGGCGGGGCATAGAGGAGAAACAATAATGTACAGTATGTGGAAAATAATGTGTTTTTTAACCTTAAACTGCATAAACACATTTCATTACACCAAATACACAAAATAATGTTCTTTTTAGCAGCATCATATGACCCCTTTAAGGACACTGACAGCAGCTAGTAAATTAGGCGCGGTCACTCCAATATAATGATACACATTCCATTTCTTACTCAACTGTTTACTTTCACTTAAGACATAACCGACCATTTTTTCGAGGATACTCGCAAAGACAGGTATTGTGACAATTTTGTATGTATTTGTCATTTCAAGTGCAAGAAGAGACAAAACTTAATTCGGTGTTTAAGGGCTGTAGACGCGGCTCTCTGCATGCACAGAACAGCGCGCGGGTGCTGAATTAAGCTTTTCATGTCTTTTTGTGCTTGTATGTTTAAACTTACATTTTTGTTAAAACTACAAAGTAATTCAGTAAAGAGCAGTGAGAGATTTTCTCCTATTTAATTTTTTTGGATTAACATTAAAGGGGTCATATGATGCGATTTCAATTTTTCCTTTCTCTTTGGAGTGTTACAAGCTCTTGGTGCATAAAGAAGATCTGTAAAGTTGCAAAGACTAAAGTCTCAAATCCAAAGAGATATTCTTTATAAAAGTTAAGAGTCAACCACGGCGCGCGGGTGCTGAATTAAGCTTTTCATGTCTTTTTGTGCTTGTATGTTTAAACTGGCGAGGTGTATTTGTTCGTTCAGGCACGGGAGGAAGCGAAGAGCTCGGTTTGGTGTTTGCGCGGCTCTCCGTGTGCGCACCGAATTCTGTGCGCAAACTCTCAGTTGAGTTTTTCTGCGTCTTGTGTTTGAATGCTTTAAACTGTTTAAATTGGCAAGGCTTAAAACACGTGCAATTGATAAGCTTTCGTGCCGACACGCAGGCCACGCAGGCC